AAATGGCATAGTATTTGCAAATAACCTATGCACATCCTTCCATATACTTCAAATCATCTCTGTTGTTGTTAATAGGTGCCGTCAAGTCAGTTCCGACTCATAGCGACACCATGTACAACAGAATGAAACACTGTCCAGTCCTGAGTCATCCTCACAATTGTTGTTATGCTTGAGCCCTTTGTTACAGCCACTGTGTCAATCCATCTCATTGAGGGTCTTCATCTTGTTTGCTGACGTTCCACTTTACCAAGCATGATGTCCTTCTTCAGGGACTGATTCCTTCTGATAACATGACTGTGATGGTTAAGATTATGTGTCAACTTGGCTGTGCCATGATTCTCAGTGTTTTGGCAGTTGTATAATGTTGTGATCACTTCCCTGTTGAGTTTTCACATGTGATCACTCCCATGATGGAATCTGCTGTGATTACCCAATCAGTTGAAAGGGAGTTTCTTTGGGCATGTGGCCTGCATACGAATATAAGTGGACATTCTGGCAGGGTTTTGGGTCTTTTGCTTGTTCTGGATCCTGCAGCTGCCTCCTGTTCATCTGACCTCTAGTTCTTGAGACTTGAGCTAACAGTTTACCTGTTGTCTTACCTGCTAATCTTGGGATTCATCAATCTTCACAGCCTGTGAACAACAGCCCTGCTCTCCAACCTGCCAGTCTTGGGTTAGTCAGTCCCAATGGCTACATGATTCAGGAGAAGCCTCTATCCTGATCCACGGACATGGGAAGGTCCAGCCTCTACAACCAGGTGAGCTATTTCCTTGATATAAATCTCCCTCTCTATGTATATTTATGGAAACCCTGGTGGCGTAGTGGTTAAGAGCTATGGCTGCTAACCAAAAGGTTGGCAGTTTAAATCCACCAGGCACCCCTTGGAAACCCTATGGGGCAGTTCTACTCTGTCCTATAGGGTCGCTATGAGTCAGAATCAACTCAACAGCAATGGGTATATATATTTATATGCTTTACTGGTTTTCCTTCTCTAGAAAACTAAGCCTAAGACAAAGTCCAAAGTATGTGAGACATAGTCTCGCCATCTAAGGAGCATTGCTTCTAAGGGGCATTCTTGTTGTACTTCTTCCAAGGCAGATTTGTTTGTTATTTTGACAGTCCATGGTATATTCAATATTCTTCACCAACACCACAATTCAGATTACTTATAATACATAATACAATGTAAATGCTACATAAATAGTTGTTATACTGCATCGTTTAGGGAATAATGACAAGAATGAAAATTCTTTTTTTTTTTTTTTAATATTTTTGATCCACAGTTGGTTGAATCAGTGGATGCAGAACCTGTGGATAAGGAGAGCTGATTGTATATTGGAATGAAGTGTGATTAGAAAGTGGTATTGAGCCGATAGATTGATAATGTTTGGTCAGAAAATAGAGTCTTCTTGCTAGTCCAGTCACTCCATCTCACAATAAAAATCTTAGATATGGAAGTATGCACAATAAAAAGGGAAACCAAAGCAGACCTTGAACACAAACCCTGCTGTAGAAATCCCAGAAGGAGGTTTGACTACATGGAGGGATTCTTTTTCCTCAGTTAGTCCTAACTAACCTTAAACCAAAGCATGTATTTAACATTATCCTATTTCTTCAAATCTCAAACTCAATTTGTTACTTTTGACCCTAGATAGGTGGTCATACCCTCCTGAACCAGAAAAAGAATGCTGATCTCGGGCAATCTTTTTTAACATTCTTTTTAATTTATACCTCCAAATTTCCAGCCTTGGAAACAGGGTTCAATCAATGTCCTCAAATATGTCCAATCCAGGACAATCTTCCTCTCTAGGGCTGGAAAACAGGAAGGTTGAATGAGGGGATAGTATTAAATAGAGGTCGAGAGGGGCCTCAATCCACAGCAAAGCCTTCTATTGCCTCAGCCTCCAATATCTAATGAAGAAACTGGCTCTAATATAAGAAAAAAGATACAGAATAAAATGGTCTGTGATTCAACTTAATTTAGGTCTTTAACATTTTGTCATTTAAACTTCTTTTCTTGTTTCTCAAGAACTTAAATATATTTAAGTTGCATTAATATCAGGACAGATGGCCAACCTATTCTCTTGAATGCTAGAGTTGCTTCCAATTTTCTTATATTAATTATTTTCTTCCCTCAGAGTGCTATCTGAGTCTACAAATGAAGAAGCTGAAGGGGTAGCTGCAGACTGAGAAAACAGAACCAAATTAAAAAAAGTAGCTTGACCTAATAGGGCAGAACATTTATGTGAGAGACACCTTCTGTATTTTTATCCAAAAACAAGGCTGTAGTATTTGGACAGAAATTACCCCCTTATTTAAAAATTTAGCTCATGGTAGTTTCAAAGTGTTGTTTGCTTTATTCTGCCTTTTCTTGGAAAACCATTATGTTACAAATGGGTCATTTCCTTCTTATCCTAAGGTTTTATAATAATATATAAAGTTATTATTCTATGTATTCTTTCTGCTCCATATACTGGGTAGGTCTGGAAGCAAGATTTTCTTTTTCACTTTTTAACCTATTTCATTTATTTTTATTGGTAAGGAGCAACAATTTCGCATACTAACTTAAGTTGTTTTCATTTACACGTAAATTGTAATGTTTATACAAACATAATCTTATTCAACTGCTTTAGCTAAGCACTTGAATGCCTGATTAAGGCAGTAGAATTGGATTTACAGTTTCACTGAAGAGTTGCTTAATACATATTATTAAAGGTTGGATTGGTACCATCATGCCCTCTTAAAGTTGCTGCTTCTGCATTCTTGTCCTGGACTTATCTCCTGTTATTCATCATTTTTAGTATCTTAACCTCCTTTCTCAGATGGGCTGGGTGGTTCTTGGGTGTTTTTACACATTCCTATGATTTTTAAATGTTTTCAGATGAACTTTCAATTCCTCTTTTTATTTTAGGTCTTATTTCTTCTCTGCTTCACAGGGCTAGCTGGCCTAGAAATCATGTCTTTACATGAAGATAATCCATCCTGTTGGGTTGGCTAATGATCACTATGTATGTCTTAATCATCTAGTGCTGCTCCAACAGAAATACCACAACTGGATGGCTTTACAAAGAGAAATTTATTCTCTCACAGTCCAGTAGGCTACAAGTCCAAATTCAGGGCATCAGCTCCA